AATATAAATATTATTTAAATAATGCAAATATTAAATTAAATTAAAAATTAAATTAAATTTATAAGTTTAAAAACATTTATTTAACAAATTTCAATTTAGGCTTGAAGCATTTTAAAAATAATTTTTAATCTAAGAATATTTTATTTGCAATATAAACAATAATAATTTTAAGATATTAAGGGTGTGCAATCTATCAGTCAACGTTGTGTTTCAGGATATAAATTTTTAATATTAATGAGTTTGAAGCTAGTCTTCGTTTTATGTTTATGAAAAAACGAAAAACTTGAAGTCAAGCCTTACATTCATCTCACTTTAGTTGACTATCTTAGCAATACAAATTTAATTTTTTTTTTATCTATATATTTTTTTCTTTACATTATCAAGTCTATCTTGTTTCTAACAAAACAACTTTAAGAAGAAATTTAAATTTATTAAACCTGTATTTAAACATAAATAAGGTATGTGATTAATTATTCTGTATTGATAAAATAAACATCAAAATATACGACAGAATATATTTAAAAAAATATTAATCTTGAACAAGTCTGAAAGGTTGCTCATTCTGGTTGAAATTCCGGGGAAAAATGTTATTACACGCTGATAAAATGCACACAATTTCTAACCATTTTGTCTTTTTTAACTGTTTCAGTTTCCTTTTGTATTATTAAGGATTTTCTGAATTTTAGCTGTTCATTATGACGCCAGTTGCTCCCAGAGTGATATTGACATCCAATGGTCAGACTCATCGTCAGGCTGTGATGGAGAAATCGGACGTGTACCTGCATTGCGAAGTTCGGGCTAATCCTCAAGTCGTAACTGTCCAGTGGTTGTACGAGGGAAGACCGATTGTCAACAATCTTTCCCAAGGAGTAATCATTACCAATCAATCTTTAGTACTATCTAAAGCGCAACGTTTTCATCGAGGGAGATATCAGTGCCTTGCTTCAAACATAGAAGGTCAAGGAAAGAGCGAAGAACTCTTTCTAGAGATAAATTGTGAGTAATCATTTCATCTTTGTTAGTGTTTCCGCTCAGAAAATTAATAGCCTTCGATATGTTTCTTGATGGAACTTAATTCAGTTTACTTTCATATAAGTGAAATCTATCATACATTCCATTTTTAGTGACAGACTTTCTAAAATGAGAACCTCTCTATTACTATTCTTGATATTTAATAATTGTGTTATAGTTATTAAACTATTTCATTTCTAATGCCTTGTATTCGATGATTGTCCTTTATATATATACTAACCAGTGAGTTAGATTAAACTTAGTATAGTAAATCTTGCCAATTCTCATCCAACAAGACAGTTAAGCTTAACGAATTAATTTGAACGTGCCTGGAGGTAAAAACAGTAAGTCCAAAAGAAATGTTCGGAATTAATTTTCTCTTTGATTGAGTTTTCTGAAATCATTGCTTAATCAAACCATGTTGGAGATTAGAAATGAGAAATCTTCGTTCAAATTAGATCCTAAGATTAGAAAATGACTACAAGATTAGTTTTTTTCTAGATTAAGAAATGAAGGAAATCCACTCAAGCAATTTAAATAAAGATATTATTTGAAACTCTTAATAAATTTTATATTATCGGGTGACCAAGAAAGTTGATGCGGTTTTTAAAAGTAAAAGCAAAACATTTATAAAAAAAAAATGAAAACAAGCACTTTTATTCTGAATGACAACAACTCATTCAAAAAAACTTCTCCCAATGAGATGTAGTTTATAATAAATGCTGTTTCTATAAAATTGAATTTTTAAAAGCGAGAAAATATTATTTAATTCGTATCTAAAATTTCTGTTTTTTTTTTTTTTTTCATTGATAAGGAAGGATGATAATCGCATGCAAAAATTTAAGAAATTTGTGTTATATTCGTCCAAGTTTAAAAAACTTGAACTTGGTCATAGTGGAAACTTGTTCTGGTAAGAGTAATTGACGTAGTCATTTTTTAAATTGATTTTTATTTTTATACTCAATGGCATTTCACGTTTGATAGTAGTACCATACCAGCCGATTTTGCATCACTTATTCTTTTAACGTATGTCGACGGATAAATGTCATCTTCAATTGGTTATACGTAATTTTTGCCTGCATAACTGAATAACCGCACAACCTTTTTTCTCATTTCACAGAAAGTTTCATTTTATTTTTAACCATTTTATTTATGGTTAATTATAATCGAGTCTATGAATACAAATTTAATCAATACAGTAAGAAATTTTATTTCTATAATCATATTTGCTTATTCTAAAGCAATTGAAATTCAGTTTTTATAATGTAAATTTTAATAACTTTTTAATATTTAAATCCAGTTTGTTTTTAAATCTATGTCTTATAAATAACAAAGTAAAGAATAATAAGAATAGTAATTTTCTGTAATTGAAATTTTACGTATAATAATCTTCTATAATTTTTTTTTCTAAATTAAATATATTATACATCTTTGTAATAGTATATTTAAATTAAGTCTGCATTCTTACCAGAGATGTAATGTTAAAAGTATATATACATTATAGTTTTTGATAATTATTGAATCGATGTATTTAAAAACTTAACAATTAGCTTCGAATATTGTAGTTATAATAGTTATAATAGCTTAATTAAATATGCAATGTTGTTGTTTATATCAAACGTGCGTGTTTATAGCGATATAATCAACAACATAATCCTAGCAGATCATATTCATGATTATGAAAGACTTTAATAGAGCATTATCATAATTGAAACAGGTGTATTTTAATAAGAGATTATTAGATTTTATCGCATAACTATTGAATCATCTGTATTAATATTTTCAATTGTCTCATTAAATAATTAAATTCTACAATTTCTATAGTTAATTTAATTTCTGAACTTGTTCATAGTTGTATTTTATTATTCCTTAACAAAATTTAAAGCGGATATTATACCTGTGTTGATTTTAATTATAAATGTATACATTATAATAATTTAGATGAGTTAAAGTTAAATGTTGTTGCATAATTGCTTGCTTCGAAATTGAATATACTGTAATCGTTATGCATGATTCAACTTTTGAGATAGATGATATACATATACATATACTTATACATAATCCATGATATAACAATCTATTTAGAAAGATTTAATGGCTTTTCCTTGAAGAAAACAAATGGATTCATGCACTTAGTGATGTGGGTAGTGAAAAATAACTACAGTAGTTTCTCTGGAATAAACAGTGATGCGTAAATTCTTCCTAATTGCAATAAAAATGAAACGTTTTTATCTATTATACTGTTTATTTCGCAATTTTAGTACACATTTATCATCGTCTGATGACATGTAAGATAATTTATTTTTAATATTAATATAAAACTTTATTATATAAATGCAATTATTAAATGTTCCATACATATTTATGTTTAAAAATAAACCTTTATCATTTTTATTCTGGAAAATTCTCGTTGAAAATGGTTTTAAATCTTTTGACAATTTTTAGATGCACCTAAATGTCGAAACGAGCAGGACAATCTCTATGGAGCAGGAAGGGACGAATTAGTACGTGTCAAATGTGAGGTAGAAGCAGAGCCTCCTGATGTAGTATTCTATTGGAATTTTAACAACACGGCGGAAAAAAGGAATTTGTCATCGTTCACGGTTGATGGGCTGCAAAGTGTAGTGACTTACATCCCTCGAAAACTAGACGACTATGGAACATTGTCTTGCTGGTCTAGAAACATTGCCGGACAACAAGAAAAGCCCTGCCTCTTTACTATTATTTCTGTAGGTATGTTTCAAGCTTTTCGAGCACTCGAACATATAGTATGTGTATTTAATTGACAGCGAATCATAATTTAGTTGTATTTTCTAAAATACATAATAATAAAATGTATAAATCTCGATAATTGTTTCAGATAATCATTTATATTATCTGGATTCGACTAAGTTGTGAGTCGATTACTAAAAGATTCCATTTAATTACTTGATTGCTGTGTTAATCTCTTATCCTTGTTTACTATCTACTTTAATACTTATAGATTAGGTAATTGTTTGAGGCAGAGATACAGACAGTCTGGCTACAATCTACAGAATGCTATTGTTAATTTTCTAAATATATTCATAATGTCAAAATATCTTTTTGTTTTCTTCACGTAATCTTCTTAAAATATAATTATAACTTAGTTGATGGTATACTTATTAATGACGTATGAATTTTAATGCGATTATTTATTATTTAGATTAAAAATAAAATTCACATAAAAATTAATAAATTATTCTAAATAAAAAATCTACAGTAATTTTTAAAATACATAAAAATAAATTTTTTAAATTTTAATAAGAACAATGCATTTTTAGGTCCTCCAGAAAAAGTTCGTAACTGCACCATTACCAATGTTACAAGTTCTTCTCTGTTGATTGAATGTGAATCGGGTCACGATGGAGGTCTTCAACAACGTTTCCATTTAGAAGTTTATAACTCAGCCAAAGAACGACTAGAAGCAAATCTCACTAATAGCATTAATCCGGTTTTCCATGTTACTAGTCTGCCATCTTCTACAAGTTTTGTTTTGATTTCTTACGCATCCAATCTAAAAGGAAGAAGCAATTCAATTACATTGCGAGCTAAAACATTAGTAACTTATACCAAACAATCAGGTCTGTAAATTCTTTCAAAGAAACATTATATGCGATATAAAAAGACTTTTATATTTTATATAAACAATCTCTTGATACAGAAAGCTTTACAAGTTTGCCAATTAATCCGATTTTGGGTGTTTTAATTGGTATTGTGGCTGCACTGGTGTTTGTTGCCGGGATAGCTGTTGTAATTATGAAAAGAAGGGCGGACGACGATGACAAAGGTTAGTATATTTTTAGAAAATTTCATAATTTTTACCGAATTTTTCTAATTGCATTTCTGTTATTATATCGATCTGTTAAAGTTAAAACGCTAACCGGGGTTATTTGCCCAAAATACCGCTTACAATCAATAATATTCTTGTCTCGCAAAGACTTAAGTAGAGTCATGGAATGTTTCGTCATGCTGTATAATTCTACTGTAGCTAGCCAATTAAGCGGGTGTCTTCATCACTATGATTGCCCTTGGGAATTCAGACTTCCATTTCAGCAAAGGAATGGAACAAACAAGAGTTGGTGATTGAGTTATATAGTGATGTAGAAGCAACTTATAATTATATTAAGATTATTAGTAAATTTTAATTGCAATTAATTTTTGATTCGGATTACAATCTTAATTACCAATGAAAATTATCTTCGAAGTCAATTAGAAAAAAAATGTTTAATTTAGAATTTTAAAAATATCTCATATCATATATTGTTTTTCTAATTACCCTATAAAATTTTCGATTAAAATTTATTTCAATAAAAATTTTTTTTTAAATTAATGAAACTTCTTTAAGAAAATATGAATGCTGTAGCGTTAATTTTAAATTCTATGAGCATAAATTTGAAATTTTGTCATCAGATGCTCTAAAACTCCTATTAATACAATAAAGATTGACAAGAGCAGTTTTTATTGAGTCATTATTGTTACAGCTGCATCGCTTCTTCATTAACTTCAAAGAGAAGAGTAGTTGACGTAAAGAATACTTTTAACATTCAATTTTGTTGACATTGTCAAAGGGTTCCCATGTGAAAAGGGGAATGATGCAACTTTTAGCTAGTGGATCTCGTATTTTTTTTTAACTTAATCCGGCCGCGAGGTTGGTGAAAATTGATTAACTATCTCAACAACAGCCCAGCTGATTACGTTAAATATCGATCGGATCTTTTGTTCTGTACCTTCCTCATTTTCTTTTGATGAAGCTTCGATGAATATGGAATACTTGTTGAAGACTTATGAATATTTATAACGCGTTAATGCAATATCCTTAGAAAAATAGTCTTTAGATCTATTTATAGATTTGTCAAATCTGCTTTACTTCGAAAAGTAGGCTGTTAAACAGATTACATTCTTCCAATAATGTCATTTACCTTCTTGTAAATAAGTAGGGAAATCTTAATTATTTTTACGAATATCCAATTTTAATGAACTTGTTTATTATTTTTAAATATTAATTGCTTATTTTTATAGGTCCTTTAGAAGATTCTGCAGTTGAAAAGTAANTTGATTGACATGAATACACAAACTTATATATAAAATGTCCTCCTAAATGGCATTTGTGTATACTTTTGAATAAATTTTCTCCATACATATTAAACAATTTGTAATTATCTGATCTAATTATTAAAAGTATGATTTTTGCATTGCAAAGAATAGAAAGAAGAAGAAAAAAAATCAAATATGTAATAATTGTTAAATCATGTGACTTCAAATTATTAAACAGATTCATCACCATACATATAGAGTGATCAAAAAGTAACATTACAAAGCCAACAACAGATAAATCCTGTGTTTTCATATTGTAATAAGATTATTTATCTGCAAGCAATATCATATATTTCTCAACAAAATTATCCAGCTTGTTTGGACATTTATCACAATGTGTTACATGTTTGTTTAGCCTGTTCTCAAAAAATTCCATCCCTGTTGCTGCAGTTACACAGCAATGGTAGCTTTCACTTCATCAGTAGCTAACTTAGAATTACATGTGGGTGACTTCAACACACACCCAGGCGCTATGGAGAATGATGGTGAATCTCCCATTAAATAATCTACAGCAAATCTACACCAATCTGCAACACCTTAACAGAACACAACATTGTCTCCACACACATCTTGATGAGCCAACAGATTGACAGGTGGAATTTTTTTTTGGACTAAAAAAAATTAAATAGCTATTTGTTCTCCATAAAACCACTTAAACCTTATCATTTGGAAATGCTATATCACAATTGTCCTTCATGTGTCATTCTAACTTTTCACTGTTACCAATGGTTCATTACTAACTACCTACATTTGAATTACATTCTACAGTGTTTTAATTTTTAATCTGTAGACCTTGTAAAGTTAATTTTTGATTCATTCTACATGTAATTCTTGTTATTTAAGATACTTCAATTTAGTGCCATTTCAGGATGCAAATAAAATAGTGATGCTCAATCAAAAGTTTGACTATTTACACTTTGTAATTTATACAATGTTTATTCGTCCACGTCGGCAATCGCTTATCAGATGCCAGTTGATTGAATCTATTATCTGCCTCTTTGTAGTTAACTGACGATCGTGCAAATGTGTTTGCTGTCATTTGAATCACTCTTAATTATGACTTGTTATAATGCAAATGAAAGCATTTGAGTTCATTTTTGGACAGATTACCCATCTGATGAAGAAGAATGGCAATCGCTGCAGTCAAATAATCTTTCGGGTCCTGTATACAGAAAACCTATAAGAGATAATTACGGTTTTTATGAGAAAGGAATTGGAACCAATCTACAAAAAACTGTAAAGGTATTTAAAATATTTAATGAAGAAAAATAAACTATTTTTATGCGAATTGTAAAAAGTTAGCGACTTAATATTTTATCTATAAAATAAACTACATACGGATAACAATGTAGTTTCTTGGATAGAGAACTTTATTCTATTTAATAGCTCTCTATATAAGGTAGATATCAGTTTTGCCCCGGAGCTATTCTAAGATTTCTTTTTTCCGTTCTATACTGACGACTCTAATGAGGGTTCTTCTCAACAGGCCGCCAAGAACATGAGGTGCAATGACACCACAGCACAAGAGAGTCTCATCTCCACGTCCAAACAACCTGACACCCAGATAGAATTCAGTCAATGGGATCTACAGAGGAGAAGATCGTCAATTAAAGAACAAGAAGTGCTGGCCGACACACCTTTAGTTAATAGCGGAATAACTAGAATAATTGTACGAATTTTATCTACGTACGGGTACTAATTAGGATACTAATTTTAGCGTTAAACAATAGCGAGTTAAAATTTTCGAGTAATAATAAATTAAAATTGTTTAACTTTATTGCAATCGTCGTTAAATTTAGAAACCGAATGATCATAAATAGCACTCGAATTATTTATATTGTTAATTGAATTAAGGCTGTTATATACGCGCAATAAAAATTTCTAATTAGTTACTAATCCTCTTCTATTACTTCTCAGCCAAAACATAAAATGAAGAATGAACATTCAACACTGTCAACACCAGTATGAAGATAATGAAGAATAAGATTTGTGGACAGATTTGAAACAGAATAACTAGGGATTAACGATGCGAAGTTTCTAACAGTGAACTAACAGTGCCTGCAATGATAAATTTTCATGCGGGGATTACGCAAACTGCTCAATTTTATCACGGACCCAGTGATATCGTGGTATGTCGAGAACCATAGAAAGATTCACGACTGCAAATTTGTCGCCTTTCTTCGTGTCATGCCATGATATAATTTCATTTTTAATCATAATAATCATCGAATGAACTCGATTATGATTTTTTATTTAGTAACTATAAAGTATAGACATCACAATATATATGTGTGACAGAAGGACCGAGAATGAATATTGTAACTAGAAAAATCTGACTATGTATTATATTCTACATGGACAATGCGAATTTTCTCCACTTCATGTCATTGTTCTTATTGATCAATAAAATAGCAATAAAAATCATATAAAGTGTCATTTGTATTTACAACTTTAACCACACCAGCTGTAAAATCAGCTCCATTAGAGCCTTTAAATGAATTCTTTTAAGCTACCAACTGGCAATAAAATTCTGAAGTGGAATATACTTTAAAAAAAAAAGAAATCTAAACGATTCTTAGAATTAAATAAAGAAAATTAATTAACATATTTAAAAAGTTTTGATGTCAAAATAAATACAGTCAAACCTCTGAGCCACTGACGAGAACACATACAAAAAAAGAAAAAAAATGGCCGCTATTTGAAGATTATTTTGTAAGGTCTTGTTTAACGTTCCTGAAAAAATGGCCTCCGTTTAAAAGCGGTCGTTTTTGAAAGGTGGCCGTTATTAGAGGTTCCATATAGCCTACTGTATACATTATGTAAGTAAAACTCTTACAGGAATTAAATAAAATCTGCTTTAATTCATATTTAATAGATATATGCAAAAATAAATAGTAATGAATAGAATCTCATTTAAATAGTCTATATCGTGCTTGGTCATCTAATAAATCACATAAATAGGATATTTAAAGAAGAATTTAAGTCACTTGATATATGCTTGTACTCTATGCAATACTTATGAAACTAAAAATCATAAAAATATAAACTACAGCCAGAATCGACTAAATAACTGCTCGAAATTCAAATTTATTGTTATTTCGAATTTGAATAAACGATTCAGTTATAAAAATTTAAAATAATGAGCTAAACATTAATTCTGAGGGAAGTACTGTACTACATACTGTAATTATATATAAAATTTTAAATGCTTTAACTATAAAGTCAGCCCGAAATTTAAATGTCTCATTAGGCGATTAGAAAAAATTTAGCTTAAAAAATATTCTTCTCAGTTTCTACAAAAGCTATTCGAAAATTTATTTCAAACTAATTTACTTTTAAAAAATTTAATTATTTGAATTCGCATCCAATTATCTATTCAATTAGTTAACTTTATAAACGGAAATAAATTCCATTAGAAATAAAGCAGTTATATGGATATTAAATATAAAAATTACAACAAATTTTAATTATAAATCAATAATAAGTAGATTATAAAATTCAAACCAAATTATACGCTTAATATTATAATATATATACAGAGACGAATTACTGCGAGGCACATGTCTAGAGGTCCCGAAATTAGAAGAAAAAAATTACCGTTGCAATTGTATATCATAAGTTATAAATAATTCTACAGCTAGAATTATACATTATTAGTCTATAGTGACGTAAAATTATATAGAGGGTCCCAATCTTCTATGCCTAGGAGCCCCAGAAGGTTTTAATTCGCCACTATCTGTGTCGGTTATATAAAAATAAAAATAATTAATTTTCTTAAATTTTCTTCATANAAATTCATTTTTTACTTGTTTAGTTTTTTTGGATCTCATTAAAGAAGAGTAAGCAAGACATCGTAAAAGAGAAAAAAAGTTAAATAATTTAAATGGAAAAAATTAAAATTCTAAGAGAAAATCGATGTGATTAAAAGAGAAAGAAAAGTTTTTGGATATTTCAACAATTAGATTGTTTCAAAGACAGAAGAAATACAAAATCACTTAATGGATTTGGTAATTGCAATTCCTCTTAAAAACACTCTTAAGAGTTGATAGCAATACGGTCCCTTATATTTGATTCTATTTAATTATTTTTTTAACTAAAAATATATTTCATAAAGTATTTTATATAATAATTTTAAGAATATAATCAATTGAACAATTACTAATTTCTTTTCTGTGAGTAATTTTAAATTAATTATACAATCTAAAGCACATAAAGAAATTATCTATTCATTAGATATTAAAAACATTTAACAGATTTAACTGTTCTCATGAGTTATATAATCAATAGAATACGTATGTATCAATATAAAAAACATTTGCATTATGGTTTAATAAAATTCATTATTCTAAATGCAAAAAGTTTATTCTTATAAAGAACTTTATCAATCTACTTCATCCTCTCATGAATGATTTAGCTACAGTCCTCCCTTCCTTCCCCACCATAGCCATACTGTCATTCACTGCCATGCTTCTTTGCACAGATGTTATCCTATACTTCATTTACTGATTCTTTTCCATTACGAAACGCACTCATTTATCAAGAAAATTGATGGATTTTATGTATAAAAATACATTTAATAACCTTCTATATTAACTATCCTGTTTAATGTCTTTATTGCTTATTATTTGTTTTCCTTCAAAAAGTCATTTCACCAAAAGTATAAAGTTTCTTCTAGATTCTTGTATTTGAAGGTTCAAACTGTCGAATTATTTATTAGGTGTTTGTTTTCACAGAGTGCAACTTAACGTACAACCTTTTCTCCAAATCGATTTTATTTAAGTTTGTCGATAGAAAACACTAGCTTACTGTACATGAGAATTTTGACTATAATCATTACATTTCATCAAATATTTTAATAATTTATTATACATATATAATAAACAATTATTTGTCTCAAAAAAGGAATATAAGTTCTTTAATTAGTCCTTATATTTAATATATATATACTGTATAGTCAATACGGTCGTGATTTTTATTCATTCTCGTGGTTTAAAATGAGTTAGTAGCAATTCGGTAATTACTTTCTTTGTTTTTAAATTATTATAAAAATTCACATTTCCCAAATGCAATTTTGCTTTCATAATTAGATAAATGTCGATTTTCTAATATAATTGGAATTCAGAGTATCGCCTTTCAATAGGCCCGACTCTCTTGCTGCTTTACTTTTAAATTATAAAAAACGTTTCTATCTTAAATTTGCCAAAAATTATAGCAAATTTAAATTAATAAATGTAATATAATTAAAATTTTAAAGTTATTTTCTGTCGATAAATCGATTTATACGTTATATCCGTTGTATACAAGATTTCTATCGAATTCTCCCTAACAGAAGTTGAGAGTTTTATGTTTTTATTCTTCAATATAAACTCACCAAAAAGCCTGATAAAATTTTTAAAGGATATATCTCTAACCTATAGAATCTAATAGATTATACATAACATTCGAGACCATAGTACCATAGTAGAAGATTCAATTGTGATATTGAAAATGCAAAAATGTACATGTTTTCCCCACTATTTTTTAAAATTTAATATTTTATTAATGCTAATTAGAATTATACAGACCTGTATATATTTCTTAAAACATATTTATAGCATTTCTTGAACATTCTAGAGCTAATACTATAAAATTAGTTTCAAACTATTACAAATAAAAAAGAGGGGAAACTTTCATAAAGGCAAGATCAAGTAACTGCTAGATACCGCAAAACGATAATGGTTAGATAATGTCAAGGGAGACTTATTGTTAAAATAACTCTCAGCCTTACAGTCGAGATTGAAAGCTAAGAAAAATCAACTCCAAGTTTATGTTGTTGAGTAGCATTAAGAAACGAGATTGTATTTTTTTTCCTTCTTTATTTAAATAACTTAATGTTCTAATAAAAAAAAATACAAAATTGTTATTCTAATGTAGATTTATTAAATAAAAACAATTAATTTCATTAAGTAATTTGCAATAAAAACTAAAATTTGCAATTTAAATGATTATATTTCTAAGTAAATATCGCAACGACATTAAAATATTTATATTGTCGAAAGTAATAAAGTCAAAAAAGAAAATAGTATAAATAATTTTCAGTACAGATAAAATTTTTTAATTTAAAAAATGCTATTTTTTTAATTTTGGTTACGATAAATATTAAAAAAAGAAATTAAATATTTTATATATTAAAGTAATATAATTCTTTATATAATAGACCTATCTATAAAATTTCTATCTACTGTCATTTCTTGTTGACTATCCATAAGGGAGAAAGCCGGATATTTTTAGTATAACTAACAACAATAACCAGAGGAGAGATAAAAATCAGACTAGAAAAAAAAAAAAAGATTTAATATCGTCTTGAATTATATATTCAAATCAGGTGTACTGTACTCACAAATTTCATTCTATTCGTGACTAGTTTGCTATGAGATATAAACTACATAAAAATATCAGAAAAAATCACATTGAAGTTGATACACAAAATGTTTAAGTTGATTCGATAGCTTCTGTTTACAGTGAATTTATATACTTAATACTTTAATATAGTCTGCACTGTTGCAGAAATATTTGTGAAAGGGATTAAAACGTTGTAGTTGAATTGGATTTGCTACTTCATGTCTCTCACGTAGAAACTTATACATTGGTACAGTACATATTCGGACGAAAATATATCATTTTAAGCAGGCCTGGACAGTTGTAAAATAAGTCATGCCTCAATTGAAAATTTTAAAAATTACATCACGGATATGTATGAAAAAAACTAATCAAATTTATGATAATATTAAAAAAAAATCTAGATTAATATACAATATTACAGAATTTTTTCATCGTTGTTAATGTTTTCCAGTCTCTTAAGCCACACTTTTTTGTTATTAATCAAAATAATTCTAGTTAATTAAATTATAATAAATGACTTTGCAAAGTTATTTTTTCAACAGTGACTTAGAATAATGGAAGCTTCAAAAACAAATTCAACAACAAACACTTTTGTTTGTTTCAAAGTAATACATTAGAAGCATAGTTAAATTCAAACTTTAATTAAAAAGTAACGAAATGTTTCAGGCAAATTTCTTTAATCCTGTTTTTAATATGTTGTTGCTAGAATAATACAAGAAATCAGGAAGTCTTGTAAGAAAGGTTGGAGCAAAACAGTCAATATCACTAATTAAGAGAAAAATCTTAGCTTCTCATTAAAAAGTAAGAATATTTACATTATTTGCCATGTAATTCATTAATTGTAGAATTTAAAGTCGTTTTGTCATACTAAACAAAGAGAATTAAATCCTTTTCTTAATATAATTTTCTTAGATTCAGTCTTTAATCTTTTATAGCTGTTTATTGAAGAATATGTTAATTGTAAAGATTAATTAAAAATATATCGCTAATTCCTATAATGTAAATCGAAGTAATTTCTATTAAATTATTAAAATTAATTTTTATTCTCTAATTGTTTAAGCATTTATTTTAGTGTGGAATTACTAAGTATAGAACTTTTTTGTTTTATTCAAACGTTGA